GGAGAAAAAGTAGTTCCGCCTACATCCGAGCGGTCAGTGTAGCTTTTCTACTTCCATAAAGTCGATATGAATTTATTACGAAGCAAGCCCTCATCGAAGTATACGGTACTCTAAAAGATTGCACAGGCCAAAGTAGAGGACGCGCGACCTCAAAGACGGCTGGAAAGACACTACAACATAAAGGGACCAGATCGATGAAGAAACGGATGGCAGCAGAACAGAAAAATAAAGTCCACGAAATAAAGTACGTTGAAAACATTACACACAGTTGACGCCCGAAGTGTTCTTTGGTCTTTTTACGTACAAACAAAATAAGCCACCTCGACGTCTGGTCATGCGCATCGGCACAGGTAGGAATTCGTGTTTCACCCTTTTTCTCCTATACGAAGTAGAAAAACTAGAAACCAGTAGGCGACATTAGTCTCTAATAAGAGCACATAAATCTCAGTAAGAAAGACCTTATACGTGGGACGAATTGACTCCCATTTAGTTAGCTGTTACTTAAGAAACGGGCCACACGGGAATCGGGCTGGACCAAAATGGGGCAATAACGGAGAGCGTTATTGGGCTGCGTCCCCATGACAGATGTCATATGGAGGGAATGGCACGCCTAGATGCAGGCTCACACCGCGCCAGCCGCCTGCGCTCGATCCCGCCTCTGCTTTGACGCCAGGCACAGGTTGGTGGGGGTGGAGAAGGTGCTGTGTATCCTGTGCAAGTTTACTATCACTATAAATAAGTCAACGCGCAAGTCGCCGTTTCCGCACAATTTCCTGTTAGCCATACGATGGATATCGTCGATAACGAAGGCTGAACTGCCAGATATAACGAAATCCTTTGACATTTCTGATTACACAGACCTGTGTGCTACGATCTTCTCGGAGGTCTTAATTAGGTGCACAGCGTGCTTCGGGAGGTGGAAGCGTTTGTAAAGCTTTACTGAGGCATAGGAAGGCAGTAAATATTAAGGATTAGATGAGCAGTAGGTTCACAAAGTACCTAGGTCAAGTTACGTTAACTGGGTAATAACAGCCGTATTCACAAAGGCGTGAAAGACGCAGCACGCAGAATCGACTTGAAATCTTAAAGCAATTCCACACCCCCACCTTCCTAGCCAGTCTCGTAGAAAAGAGGCGTCTACTAGCGCGACTGCGGGTTACGTAGTGCGTCGAAAGGTGATTGATAGGCCAAATGGGAAAGTTTGCCAACCGAAGGTACAAATCAGACCTCGCAGTCAACGCTGTTTTCGTGTGAAGTGGTCGACTGGAGGACTGGATCAGACTCAATGACCCGCTAGTACGTCCCGTAAAGGGGCTGCCACGCACGTGAGACCAGTGCCGCCCACCCCGTGTGAAAACTCGATGTGTTGTGGGAGAACAGGTCTTGCGTGAGGCGCGTAGACGGGTTTGGCTCCGTGAGCCATCGCACCCAATACCCGCATCAGATGACTGACCGGTTCGGGCAGTAGACTAGTGTCTGGGAGGTCGACTCCGCGGACTGCGCCCCACGGCACTTAACGGATGTTCTTCACTACGAACAACCTGAAGCGTCTTTAAACTATTGCAGTGCGCCTAAAGCCGTGGCTCGGTGGCTCCCAGCTGACGGGGTATGTCGGTCA